CCAAGACTAATAAGAATTGATGGTAATGACATCTATTTAGCAGGCAGATTGAACAGTTGTTGATACAGTGAGATTGTTCCCCAAAAGTGCCACACTTCTTTACTAGATGTCTTCAAATCATTTATCATCCAGATTTATCTGGGCACATCCAGTGGCAAACGTGAATTCTGACTAGGAAATGGATCTGAAAGGAGGGTTCTGGAAAGCAGGTCCCAGGTACACATTCTTCCCAAACACATTTCAATGAGGATTCAAAGCCATGGCAGAATTCGGAAGACTGCGGAATTATCCACATTTTTCAAAATCAAAGATCTGTGAACATTTTATTCTTTAAGTTTTTTTATTATCAGGTGGAGTAAGGTAGGGTGGGGTAATGGGTGGAAAAGTTGGATAAAATCAATGATGGGATGATCTGCCCTGCAAAGTGTTTATTCTACCAACATAGAATTGTTTCAGGATAGGATCTAAGATAATAAATTAAGTCCTTTGCATTATTGCTACTTGAAACAATTTGAGTTCACAACTTTGTTCTAGTTCTCCTGGACTTCCAGCTGTGGCACATAACAGTCCATGTGGATTCTGAATCAGAATGGGGATGGGAAGGGAGATCAGCATGAAAGTCAAAGAGATTCATTAATTGGTCATTTTAAGTTCGAAAATTATGGTCAAGGCTTGCAGATGGCCAGCTCTCCTCCGGACATCCTACAGGGAGCTAGGCTTCACCTCCTATGGTTAGGTGAAGTTCCTCCAGCAGGGGAAAAGACAGTTGCTAAGAGAATGGAATTTGGCTGTTACATCTCTAAAACTCATGACTCATGACTCTTGAGTTCCAGAGATAATCAATTGCCTCCTTAACCATTTGTATGCCACTATAGACGAAAGAAGTGGACCTTTTTTTTTTTTTTAATTGATTTTTTTTACAGAGAAGAAAGGAGAGGGATAGAGAGTTAGAAACATCGATGAGAGAGAGACATCGATCAGCTGCCTCCTGCACACCTCCCACTAGGGATGTGCCCGCAACCAGGTACATGCCCTTGACTGGAATCGAACCTGGGACTTTTAAGTCCGCAGGCCGACGCTCTATCCACTGAGCCAAACCAGTCTCGGCAGAAGTGGACTTTTTTAAGTTAAATTCAAAATATCGTGGCAGTTAACTGGTTAAGGAACTGGTAACACTGATTACTGCTGGGGAGTGGCTAAGGGAGAGGAAAGGAACTTTTTTCTCTCTGCAGGCCACTTATCAAAAACAAAAACAAAAGAACACATTCCCCCATGTTGCCCATCCCACTTTCTAAAGATAGGAAGGCCTCCTGGGGCCAGGGCTAGAACAATTTCCTTACTGAGGACTGAAGTAGGAGCTGGAAGGGGGATCAAAAACCAAGAGAGAGCCGAAACCAGTTGGGCTCAGTGGATAGCGTGTGGGCCTGCGGACTGAAAAGTCCCGGGTTCGATTCCGGTCAAGGGCATGTACCTTGGTTGCGGGCACATCCCCAGTAGGGGGTGTGCAAGAGGCAGCTGATCCATGATTGATTCTCTCTCATCGATGTTTCTAATTCTCTATCCCTTTCTCTTCCTCTCTGTAAAAAATCAATAAAATATTAAAAACAAAACAAAACAAAACAAAACAAAAAAACAGGAGAGAGTGGAGTTAGTTGCTCGGTGAGTGAAAAACAATGACCAAAAGGGCAATTGAAGACCAGCACACCAAAGTGACCAAAGCAGCTACTGGAGGGAGGTGTGGTCTAGAACCAGAAAACAAAGCACAAGAGAAATGAAGAAGCAAGAGCAAACTGAAGAATAAATTGAGAGAGGTTTGAGAAAACCCAAGGACAAGAGTTTGGGGCATGGTGATGGGTGGGTCCCTTAGATTATAGGATCAGGAGCTCAAGAGCCTTGGGCAGCAAGGTGCAGGCCGGGGCGGGGCAAAATTCACGTCTTGTGAGAATACTACTAGATCATGCTCTAGCCTGGGGTTTAGTGATTCTGAACAGGCACGTGTAGTTTGCTCTGGATGAATGTTTGGGCAGTAATTTTACTTCCGAAAAATCTGAGGTACAACAGGATTATCATCTCATTGAGTACTTTCTAGGAAACTTTGCAAATGGGTATTGGGTTCAAGCAGTTATTTGACTTCTACTCAGGACAGGATCTTAAGATAATAAATTAAGTCATTTTCAGTATAGCTACTTGAAACAATGAGTTAATAGTCCTGATTACCTGCTTCCGGTTGCTGTGTCCAAACCCTGTAGGGGCGCCAACATTGCTCCTGGTACCCTACACTCCAGCATGGTCACTCCAGCTCTGTGCACAGGATGGGAATAAGTCCAGATATAAATTCTCTCAGGACCTCTGTATTATAATAGGTTGAAGATAATGTCTGTAGGTACTGTTATGGGATCCTGGCCCTTGCCCAGGAGTACACAATTCTGCAACTATTAAGGATTAACATGAGGTTCATTAACCAACATCATCCCAACAAATTCAGTAATTTTTTTTAAAATATGAAGTTGTCACACAGTTGCACTAAACAGCTAAAGGGCTTTTGTTCCAGAATGTAGTGCAGAGTGCCTGTGGGGAACTCCGGATCTCATCTGATGTAGGAAGATGTAATTATCCAGAAATAGAAGACCTAGAAATCACTAAGTAGGTAGAAGTCTATATATCTGGCTTGGTTTGAGTTTTCTTGCACGTTATCTTTTATTTGTGGGAAAAATCTAGGTTTCAGAGTGCCTCAAAACTGAGAGATATTAGTGGTGAACTTGTAATTTTTTTGAAGATACGGAAAGAACTAAAAATAACTGTTGAATAACAGTAAACTCTACTATCAACTAATATTGTTTACTAACTTACTAATTAAATAATAGGAGCTGTTATATGTAAAAATCCTTGGGTAAAAGACAGGCATCGGGCAATCCTATGAAATGCTACCATGTTTCCCCGAAAATAAGACATCCTCCGAAAATAAGACCTACTTGCAGGTTTCCTTCTGAGTGAAATATAAGGCATCCCCCTCCCGAAAATAAGGCCCCGTAGGCTAAACATGAGAGATTTGGTCCACTGATTCTGAAAGAAATGGAGTCACAAGAAATTCACCAGGAAATTTAGGAATTGGATTGTTATGCTGATGTTCCAGAAGATGATGACATGATTGTCATTGAATAAATGAGTAAATTCTTGATACTGTAGAATTCAGTTTGTCTGGTTTGTGTTGATAACTACCGTACTACCGTACCGTATACAGGTAATAAATTTCCTTTATTTTCATTTAACAATAAATGTGTACCGTGGAAAAATAAGACATCCCCTGAAAACAAGACCTAGCGCATCTTTGGAAGCAAAAATTAATATAAGACACTGTCTTATTTTTTGGGAAACAGGGTATTAATAACCAATCATCCTTCACCTCCACCAGACATTCTGAGATGTTTCATTACTTGGAACCCACTTGAGAAAAGATCCATTCCATAAGTCCTGGCAAAGAGGCAGGAAAATATAAGGGGTTTGAACTTACTAGTATATAGATTGCTTTGGGGAGAAGGGGTTGATGAGATAATAATCAAATAAGTAGGTTATTATAATCAAGTAAGTAGGTTATTATAAACCTATCCACTATTCATAGACTGGCATAGAGTTTGGGGCAGAGGAGAGGAAGTAAAATGATTCCAAATTGTTAATCTTTTGCAATACCATTATCTTCCTCCTTGGACTTTGCTATTTCAGCCAAAAGTACCATCATTTTCTTACTAATGTAGCTTCCAAGCCTCATGCTGTTCCACCTGCCTGGAAAGCTCTCCCTAATTTCCTAGCCCCTTGTTCTATCTTTCCTTATAGATCCTGCTCAAGAACCACCTCATCCATGCAATCTACCCAGCACTTGGCGATTTTGTATCATAAGGTCACACTATCAGTGCCCAGCGAAGTTCTAAAAATGCAGGTGCTCAAAAAGCACTTGAAAATGTTGGTGATAGTCACTAAAATCAGGCTGCTGTGTGGGTATCGGCATGAGCACGTAAACAGCAGACTCCCTTAATGCAGGATCTAGGATGCCACCTGGTCTCCCTCCCCACATAGCACAGCCTGGATTTGAGTCCTCTGATTTATATTTTCAGGGATCAGATCCTCCTCTTCCAGCAGAGAAGATACCCCAAATGAGTAGGGATGGATTTGGGTGGGGTGGGGGGGGGGCAGTTGAAAGCACAGGACTAAAATGAAACAAACCCTGCTCTTTTGTGAGGGGTAGATCAATATAAATATGGGTTGGCCAACCAATTGGGTGGGGGGGGGGGTGGTCGGGGGGAGAGGTGGGGCAGGTCACAATGAATCATTTGGGCTGCATTGACCTTTAGTATTGCTCACTATATCAGCATGACACTCCCTTCTGGACCATACCTCTGGCCCTGACTGTGAAGCAGACTGGAACTGGAGGCCTTCTCTTGGGGTCCCTCCCAGAGGAGTATGCCTCCCTGGGCAGGTATAGACTCCAGCAGGAGATCCTGCTCCCACCTCTCACCGGTGTGACCCCCTGAGGCAGAAGGTTAAGGACATAGGAACAGGACAGCCACAATGATCTAAGGCCTGGGCAGTGAAGAGATCCAAACTTGTTAAGTAAAAGAAATCAAGAACAAGCAAACATTAGAAGTTAACAGCCAAAGATTTTTCAAAGCTGTGGAGAACAGCAAGGAAGATGGCGGGCCCAACAGTCCAGCAGAGTAACTAGGAGAGCCATGGCATGGGGGGTGGCAGACAAGATTGAATGTAGAGAAGCAGTAAATGAAGGTGCCTAACAGCGAGGCAGCTTTCTAGCTCAGGTTCAGCTCCCTCTGGGGAGGTCCTTTCACCACAGGGAGAACCAATACTGAGCTGCCCTGGGGGGAAGGCTTGTTGAAGAGGAGGCCTTGGGACTGGCTGGCCGGAGAGTGGGTTCCGGGATGAGATAAAGGCAGTGGTATTTCCCCACCAGCTTCGCACTGGAGGTGACTCCGTGTTTCAGAACTTGCTACCTCTTTCTTCAGACACAAGCCATTTTTCCTACTTTCTTTGGAATGACCAGAAAGAAAGTCAAGTTTCCGAGGATTAGGATCACCCTTCCGAATACCCGATATAACCTTGGCAGGAACTTTTCTCATGTTCAAGTTTTCCTTCAGAATAAGTCTAACAGTTTCTTTGTCTAAATTTAACTTTTCAGCCATCATCCTCACTGTTAAATGTCTGTTTGAATAAACCAAGTCCTTGACCTTCTGGATATTTTCATCTGTTCGGTGGGTCACTGGACGGCCACTCCGGGCATTATCTCGAACATCTTCCCGCCCTTCTTTAAACCTTTTGTGCCAGTCATAAACTCTGGCCCTCGACATGACCTCAGTCCCATACGCTTCTTTTAAAAGGTAGTGGGTCTCACTTACAGACTTGTTCCTTTTCACGCAAAATTTTATACTCATCCTTTGCTCTAGATAGCGGTCACTCATTTTTTTTTTTTTTTTTTTTTTTTTTTTGGCAAATACGGGAACGTTAACAGGTCACGGTTGTGAGGGGGAAGACAAAGAGACCAATCTCTACCCAAAGGGACAGGTCTCTATCCGGTTGCAAGGGGAATCAGGGTGCTCCCCCTTCTTGATCCTCTGTGGAAGTCTCACCCGGAAAGAATAACAACCGCTTTTCTGAGTTTTCGCACTTCAGCTTTCAGTCGAGGCCGAGGAAGCCCGTTCTGAGAAGCTAACGGTGCCAAGGAGTAGCCGCAACACTGGGGCAAAATGAAACCTTCTGCAAACCCACGTCTGCATCTAACTCGTGCACGCAGATCTGCCGGGAACGCTTAAGTCTGTCGCCAAGGTCGGCCCAAGTCTGCGGCCCTTTAGAAGCCTGGCGATTTCTGCAACAGAGGCCTACGTGGTGGTATCCTGAGCAAGCGGAGAAGCACCAGTGATGGAACGTGCAAGCTGGGCTCCGAGGTGCAGAACCCCGCGCACGGCAGACCTACCGGAGAGGCCCCGCACTCGCCAGCTCTAGCGTCCCCGGGAGACCCGCCCGCATGCGCAGTGCCCTCCCTCCGCCGGGCAGGCCCCGCCTCCGCCTCGCCACACCCGCTCCCCCCGCGCACGCGCACGCGCGCCCGCCTCGGGAGAAGTCGGCGGAAAGGAAGGGGCGGGGGAGGAAGACGGAGGGAAGAGAGAGGGCACCCCCGGGCGCCGGGGTGCATTGTGGGAAGGAGGCGGCAGCGTCCCGGGCGGGCGGGAGGTGCACCAGCGGCGGTGGCGGCGGTAAATCCTCCCGGCCGCTCACAGCACTGTGGAGCCGCGTCCCCAGCTCGGCCTCGGACCGCGGCGCCCCTCCTGCCCCTCGCGGCTTTTCCGCCCGCCCGCCCCTCCCCTCCCCGCGGCGCGCCGGCCTCTGCCGGAGCCGCTCGGCCGGGCCGGCCGGCCGGGCTCCCCTCCCCGGCCCCGACGGGCGGGCGGGCTGCCCTGAGGAGGCGGGGAGGGGAGCGCCGGGCCGGCTCGCGGGCAGGCGGGCGACGATGCCGAACTTCTGCGCGGCCCCCAACTGCACGCGGAAGAGCACGCAGTCGGACCTGGCCTTCTTCAGGTTCCCGAGGGACCCGGCCAGGTGAGCGGCCGGCGCCGAGCGGGCAGCCCGGGCTCCCCGCTGCGGGTCCCGGGCCGCGGGGGGCGTGTGGGAGGCGGGGGACGGCACCGTCGTCGGCCCCAGCCGCGGACCCCGCCGGAGAACGGGCCGCGAGCTGGGGCAGCGCGGGCCTCTGGGGGCCTGGGAGCACGTGCGCCGCCGGGGGTTCGGGGACCCGGGCACCGCCCGGAGCGAGAGGCCGCCGGGGCGGCGGCGGGCTGGTCAGAGGGGGCTCTTGCCCCGGTTGGCTCGCTGTGTGGTTTCGGGCCAGTCGCTTTCTTCTCGGGGCTTCCGTCTCCCCAGCTGTCAAAAGAGGGTCGTCACTCGGGCTCTGTCCTCTTCTTGGCGGCAACCCCCCCCCCCCCCCCTTCCCGGGCAGTGTTTCTGGTCGGATCGAGTCCGGCCACCTTCTTTGATCTTAGGTCACAATTTCTTTCCTCCCGGATCCTGATACTCATCCCAGCTCTGGCCGTTAACTCTTTCTCTGGTTCGGTTATTGTTGGGGATAACGGGTGGAAGGGGGCGAGGGTGAGGGAAGGACACGTGCAGGCGCAGGAATTGGTATTGACGCCTTCACACACTCGGAGTGACAGCATAGGGATTGTTCGAAAGGCTGAGGTTCCCCCCCCCCCACCCCCCCTTTGGCCTGTCGTTGAGGTAGTCATTTCAAAGCAACCCACCTGCTGTGTCTTGGGTGCAGGAAATTCACAAGTGAATGAGCGTTGCCTGCAGAAAGCTCACAGTGCATTCAAGAGGCAAATATAAGTAGACGATTGTAATATAACATGCTTTTATATTTATTAGTTCCACAAGTATTTACGAAAGGCCTTCTATGTGCTTGGCATTGTTCTGAGCACTGGGAGTGTATGATTGAACAATTCTTATGGAGTTTACCTTCCAGTGGGGGGAAACAGACTAAAATGTCACGCGTCAGGTGTGATACACACAGTCCTATGGAGGAAAGGCGCATGTTGTGGGGTAGCGGGGAATAAGGAGTAGCAGGGGAAAGCACAGCTGCTATTTTAAATAAGGTAATCAGAGAAGGACTCACTAGGAAGTTGAATTAGAGCAAAGACAGGGGTAGGTAAGGGGGCTAGAGCCATGAAGATTTCTATGGGAAGAACATTCAGTCTGTGGAAACAGTAAATGCAAAGGCGGGGCATGCTTGTTAGAGGTACAGCCACAAATCCATGGACTGCTAGTGATGGTTTAAGAAAGGAGGGAGAGGGAAAAGATGAGACCAGAAAAGTGTGTGTATGGGGGTGGGGGGGGGGAGCAGGGAAGGGTAATTAGGACATTGTAGGCCCTGGGAAGCACTTTGGGCATTTATTCTGAATGGTATAGGAAGCCATCAAAGGGTTTAGAGCAGCGACTTATGCTTTAAACAAGATCACTGGCTGCTTGTTAAATAAATTGGAGGGAAGCAAAGGTGAGAACAGAAGACCGATTAATGGCAATTGCAATAAATTTGGTTAGTGGAGGAGGAGGCGGCGGTAAGTTGTTGCATTTGAGATATGTTTTGAAGATGAAGCCAATTAAATGGTTTAGATGGGGAATATTAAAGGTTTGATTTGAGACGTGAAGTTTAAGACACCTGATAAACATTCAGGAATAGATGTCTTTCTTCATAACCATATCTAGAAATAAACTCACAGTGGCCCATATTTAGATCAGTGACCTAAATATTTAAGAGCTAAAACCATTAAAAAGATATACACGTCTGGGATTTAGAGACTTCCAGACTGGAAATTATAAATATGGATGTTCTCAGTTTATAGAGGGTATTTAAAGCCAGGGTGTATGTTAAATAAAGCAGAGTTAAGTCAGTGGGTTGTGCCTTGCAGTGTTCCTAATGTTTAAAAGTTCAGGGAGATGAGGAGGAGCTAGCTCAGGAGAATGAGGCATAATTTTGGGGTTCTATGGGCCCAGAGAAGAGGAGAATCTCATCTGACTCAACCTTACCCTAATAAGCATTATCTTCATTTTAACTAAATTTTAGCCCAAGGACATTTTTGGGAATATCTTCTCTTTTCATTACACACCTTAGCCAGGAGTATGGCCTGTAGGGTTTACAGACTTAGATCTGGGAGGGATTTTTAGATCTAGTGCAATATCCCTTGAAATGCTGGAATTTTCTCAGTTGTAGTGGTGTTTTAACCTTTTTTCAGGGGGGTAGGTAGGGGAGTGGGGGAGTCAATCCCCCTTTGAGAATCAACATAAGGACTCTTGAAAAAACAGACACACACTTTTGCATTCTACTCAAGGTATTTGTCAACCTCTTAGGGGTTGTCCTGTGCATTCCTGACTGGTGGGCCTTTGCCTAAAAAGCCTCCAGTGATGGTTCTCTGCTTTGCCCCCAGGACATTTGAGGATTCTGGAAAGCTTTAGTTATTGTTTCTCCTGTGTTTTGAGTGGAAATATATACCACCTTATAGTTTATGGTTTGGAATTCCTAGTTTTGTCCCCAGGGTCATACTGAGCAAGTCTGTGCCCTTTTCATATACCTAGTCCTTTGAGTATTCCAGGACCAAATTATGAACTTTTCTTAACTTAAAAAAAAAAAACCCACAAATTTTATTTTATTTTTTTATTTTAAATATATTTTATTGATTTTTCACAGAGAGGAGGAGAGAAGGATAGAGAGTTAGAAACATCGATGAGAGAGAATCATCTATTAGCTGCCTCTTGCACATCCCCTACTGGGGATGTGCCCGCAACCAATGTACATGCCCTTGACCGGAATCGAACCCGGGACCTTTCAGTCTGCAGGCCGACGCTCTACCACTGAGCCAAACCGGTCCTGGCAAAACCACAAATTTTAAATTGAGATGTAATTCAACTGGTCCTGTGTGTGTGGATATATCCATGTATCTCCCTCACGTTGATGTCTCTCTCTCTCCTCTTTCCCCTCTCCCTCTTTTCTCCCACTCCCTCCCTCCCTCGGCCCTCTCCCTCTCTTTTCCTCCCTCCCTTTCACTCTAAAAATCAACAGAAAAATATCCAAGGGTAAAGATTAATAGGAACAAAAAAGTACAATTCAGTGATTTTCAGTATATTTTTACATTATTAATTTTAAAAATTTTAAATAAAATATACATAACAAAATTTGCCATTTTAATTATTTTAGTGTATAAGTCAGTGGCATTAATTACATTCACAATGTTATGCAACCATCACCACTATGTATTTCCAAAGATTTTTTTATTACCCCAAGCAAAAATTATAATCATTGAGCAATAATACTCTCCCCCCCCCCCCCCCCAGCATCCCATCCTTTTTGACCTTTTAGTCTCCATGAATTTGTTCTATGTATTTCATGTAAGTGAAATGATACAATTATTGTCCTTTTATGCCTGGTTTATCTTACTTAATATAATGTATTCAAGGTCTTTTTATCCAAACCAAATCTCCTCATAGTATAGGATTTCAAATTCTACTGTATTTGACAGTTTCTTTTTTACCATGAGCAGAATTAATTATAATAAAGAAGTAGTTTCCAGAAGTGTTTACTGAATTTACTAGAGGTCCTGTGCATGGATTCATGCACAGGTGGGGTCCCTCTGGATGGCCTGCAGGGATCGGACTGAAACCTGCAGTCCGATGCCACCTGCAGCTCCTACCTGCCACTCCTGCTCATTCAGGCCCCACTGTGCCTGCCACAGGCTTGTGCACAATCAGTCCCAATCAGGAGAGGCTTGCACCAGCCATGAGCCCTGCGTCTAGTGCTCTCCCAAGGGAAGTGGCCTGTGGGATTGGGCTGAACCAGCTCTCCAACATCCCCTGAGGGGTCCCAGATTACGAGATGGTGCAGGCCAGGGTGAAGGACCCCAACGGTGCACAATCAGACCTGGGAGGAACCGCAGGAGAGCTCCAGGACATGTCTGGCCCATCTTACTCAGTCCCGATCAGCTGGACCCCAGCAGCAAGCTAACCTACTGATTGGAGCATCTGCACCCAGGTGGTCAGTGCCCGTCATAGCGAATGGTTGGGCAGCCTTAGCATATCATTAGCAATTCTATAATTGAAACTTTGACTCTTTGAGTGGAAGCCTTGTCTGGCCAGGGTGTGTGGAAAGCTTGACTTCCTCCATTGCCAGGGAAACCCAAGCCTCCACCTTGCTCTCTGTGGCTGCAGCCATCTTGGTTGGGGTTAATTTAATTGCTCTGATTGGCTGGTGGGTGTCACGGAGTGATGGTTAATTTGCATATCACTTTTATTAGATAGGATTTACTAGATCGGATAATTGCCGCTTTATTAGTTAAGGCAACTTTTTAACAATTGATTTTAGAGAGGGAGGGAGGGAGGAAAGAGAAATGTTGATTTGTTGTTTCACTTATTTATGCATTCATTGCTTGATCCTTGTATGTGCCCTGACCAGAGATTGAACCTGCAACTTTGGCATATCAGGATGGTGCTCTAACCAGCAACCTGGCCATGGCCGAGTTAGGGCAAGTTATATGTCAGTGTAGGAAACTATTTAGCAGCCAAGTACCCAGATACTAGCCAAATAGCCAATCTTATAAGCAAGCCTTTCTAAGGATAGCAATCTCAGGCCTGCTCTATTAACTCTTTCTGCACAATCACCATAGTTAAATTTATCTATTCTTGAATTTAATATAAAAGGAATCACATAGTATGCATACCTGGTTTGTTTTATTCAACATTATGTTTGTGAGATCTAGCTAAGCTCATTCATTCCCTTTTCCAAATAGTATTTCTTTCTACTGTTGATAGGCAGAGTTGTCCCACCTCTCATCAACATTTGGTATTATCTTTTACACTGTAGTCATTCTTCTGGGTGCGTAGTAACATTTTGTTGTGATGTGTATTGGCCATCTGAATAATTGCAAATTGCCTATTCAAGTCTCTTGTCCATTTTTACCTTGGGTTGTCTAGTTTATTTGTAGGAGTTCTTCATATATATTTTGGATATGAGTTCATTGTTGGGTATGTGTATTGCAGATACCTTCTTCCATTTTGTGGATTGCATTTCACTCTTAAATTCTTTCTTTTAATGAACAGTAATTAACTTGAAAGTAGCCTAATTCATCTTTTCTTTTTGAGTGCTCTATTGCCTTTAAGAGATCTTTGTCTATTACAAGGTAAAGAAGATAATCTCCTATGTTGTCTTTTAGAAGTTTTATTGTTTTACTTTTCATATTTATGTCTATAATTCATTTGGAATATGTTTTTTGTATATATGGTGTAAAAATAGGGGTCAAGATTCTTTACTGACTCAATACTATTAAGAAGTTGTCTTTAGCCGAAACTGGTTTGGCTCAGTGGATAGAGCGTTGGCCTGCAGACTGAAAGGTCTCGGGTTCAGTTCCGGTCAAGGGCATGTACCTTGGTTGCGGGCACATCCCCAGTAGGGTGGGGTGCAAGGGGCAGCTGATCGATGATTCTGTCTCATCTATGTTTCTAACTCTCTATCACTCTTTTTTCTTCTCTATGAAAAATCAATAAACTATATTTTAAAAAAAAGTTGTCTTTATTGCTGTGCATAGGTACTTTTTTCTTAAGTACATTTTGTTCTGTTTTATCCTGTGTCAATAACACACTGTCTTAATAAGCTTTATAATGAGTTTTAATATCTGGTGTGGATTTTTTTAGCTTTCTTTTTTCAAGATTGTTTTGACTACTCTTGGGCCTTTGGATTTCTGTATAAAAAGTTTTAGAATCATCTTGTCATCTCTCTCACACACACAAATGCACAAAAGAACTTGTTGGGATTTTGATTGTATTAATTCAGTAAACCAGTTTGGGGAGAATTGATACTTAAGAATTTCGTGTACCAATCCATGTACTTGTATATCCCATTTATTTCTTTAAAAATTGGTTTTCTATTAGAGGTCTTGCACTAGATTTGCCTCTAGGTATTTCATGTGGAAGACATAAGTGTACTGAATTTGAGTGCTCTTGATATCAGAAAGCTGTCTCAACTTATTATAGTTCAGAGATAATACGTATAGTAAGTGTTCTGTGTGGAAGGTCTTCAGAGATATAAGAATTTAGAAATGAACTTAACTTCTGTGAGTATGGCAACTTACAGTGAAACAGTTTTTATACCAAATGCCATTGAAACGTGAAATGCTTATAATCATATTGTACAATTATATAGCTATATGATTAAAATACAGACATCTTAGGCATCATTATTGTAAGTAGTAATGCTTCTTGGCTGAATGAAATTCCGTATAATTAGATATGATTTTATTTAGGTTAGATAACCATCATTCACCATGGTTTTAATGTTATATATTGAAAAAGAGGGAATTAGTGTTAGAAAGTGTTTGTGAAGGGGTGAATTGTGATGTTGAGACATAAGAAAAAATACTATGATATGCCAAAACCGGTTTGGCTCAGTGGTAGAGCGTCAGTCTGTGGACTGAAGGGTCCCGGGTTCGATTCTGGTCAAGGGATGTACCTTGGTTGTGGGCACATCCCCGGTAGGGGGTGTGCAAGAGGCAGCTGGTCGATGTTTCTCTCTCATCGATGTTTCTAGCTCTCTATCTCTCTCCCTTCCTCTCTGTACAAAATCAATAAAATATATATTTTTTTTAAAAAGAAAGAAAAAATACTGTTCTTTCTTTAAGTATACTATACTTAAATTATATAGTATAAATAATACTATATAATTATAAATGTTTCCAAATTTGTGGCACTATTCATGGCAGAATTTTATTCCTAGAAATTTGAGGAATGCAAGAAAGATCTAGTTGTAACCTTTAGCCAATAACTTAACATTTCTATGCCTTCATTTCTTCTGCACAAAAGGGAAAATAATAATTCAGAAAGGACTTAGAACATTGTCTGGCTCATTGCTAGTGTTTATTATTTGTTTTTTGCAAATATTTTAGCACTAAGAAGGCATGGACCTTGTCTTGTTCACTATATTCAACACCTTCTATGAACTAGATTGTGTAGATGCAATCCCTGCATTCTTGGAGCATCAAATATAGTCTGTGCATATCATTGTAAATAATAAATCATGTTAGTAGACTGTCATGCTTCCATAAGAAATTGTAGTTATTAATTAAACATTTATTTACTAATTTTCTACAATGACAGTGTTGCTTTCTATGCTTGTTTAAGTTGAAATCCTGTGGAGAATGTTAGGCTTTTCATCTCATGGTGTGCAACTTTTTATTTGTACTGCTGGTGTGATTGAATCTTTTCTGATGCTTAGAGTCTTGGGATTTAAGTTCATTTTTGCTGCTGATTTTGTACATGATTCTGAGCAAGTTACTTCTTAATCATGTCTGTAATTAAATGCACTAAATGATATCTAAGGTTTCTTCTAGCTCTCATTTTTGTTATTAATCAACTTAACTAAATTATGTTATGTTCTGTGGGTAGAGGGGAATAGGAATCTATGGTCTTTAATATTACATATCTCATAATTGTATTATGGTTTTATTTATAGATGCCAGAAGTGGGTGGAAAATTGTAGGCGAGCAGACTTAGAAGATAAAACACCTGATCAACTAAATAAACATTATCGATTATGTGCCAAACACTTTGAGACCTCTATGATCTGTAGAACTGTAAGTAATAGAAGAACTTGGTTTTTGTTTTCTCTAACTCATTCAATATCTGGTCGGAAGTATAAATCTTTCTCTATCAATGTCGGAGGGTATCTTTATACCCCTCCACTATTTTTTTTTTTTTTTTAAGATGAAGACAGATTTGGAGCCCACTAACCACTTGTAAACTTTCTGTGTAACCTTCCGACAATTTTTAAGCTTTTATGAAAGTATATATTTAAGGTAAAGTTGGTGTTTTTATTTGGAGCAGCTTCTCTAGAGCTTTTTTATGAGTAAAATCTTCTTCGAGGAATGGAGCTCTTTGTTTTCATGTATTTGTTTTTCTAAGTATTGTTAGAACCAACAGGAAGCAGATCATACAATTAATGTAAAAAAATTTCCATCAATAATTTGCAATTTTATATTAAGACCTGGATCTCTCTTACTACTAACAATCTTACTACTGTTGACTTTTATTTTGGCCAAGTCACGTTCCCCAATTGGGTCCCTAATTTCTTATGAGATTAGACATGATAATTCCTGAGGTCTACGATTTTTCACCCTCTTTGTTTCTATTGCTAGGAGTCATAAAGGGCATGCATAGGGCAGATTTGATTGAAATGGAGTAGACTTGAAACACTAAAAACTAGTTAGGAAGACAGTTTTATTAAATAATACATATATTCTTATTTAGGTATAGCTAATGTATCATCCCAGGTTTTGGGATAGATATAAACTTGATATTTAAGGTGCACTATATATTGTTATGCAGAATTTATTTTGGTATTTTTTTCAGATACATTTTGCAGAGGCACCAGAAAACTAAAGAATGATTGGGTTATTTATTTCTCAAAATTATTTGAAGCAGATACTTGTGAAGTCATTGGGAGGTGAGCCAATTCCGGTTCAACAGTTTAATCACAAATATTTGAGGAATAATTTTGCCTTGCTTTGTTAAGAGGGTAATAATAGTCATGACCAACCAAAATAAGAGATTCACTGTGTAAAAGGCAAACTACCTGTATGTTTTTGACAGTAAAATAGTCCCAAATTATTATTTTATTTACACAAGCCTTATGCATTTTTATATTTTTATTTTAGTAATAAATATGGTCTCTTAATTAGATAATTCCAACAAGATTAATATGAGAAATTTAACATAGTTTATTCTCATATTCTTGTTTAGTCAATGAATAAATTTACTTTTAAGCATCCACATGAACCTTCAATCTTGAATAAATTAATTCAAATGTGAGAATTTTTAAAACTTATTTAGAAGGTATTGCTATTAAAAGCTGGATTGTCTAAGATCTGTATTCAAATGTTTACGAGTATTAACTTCATTAATTTGGCATTTAAAGTCTTATTACTAAATATTCATGGCTTGTTCAACCAAAGCCAAGTGTTAACTTCAATGCTAGAGTAAGATTATTGCTTTATGCTCAAACCTTAATTCAGCAGTTAAAGGTTAAATCTTGATACAGCATTAAAATGATCAAGCACATTAATTGAATATAGCCCTTTTAGGCATACATGCTTAAAGATAAATATGTATTAAAAGTTTCATGTTTTCCATATATTGTTTTTGGTCTTTAATATTTTTTATAGCAAGTGAATTTGAATTTTAAACATGTATTAGAATGTTTTATCCCTCCTCTCCTTATGTAATAATTGGTGATACTAAGAGTTGACTCTGTATGTGTGTATGCTTGCTTTTTGAGAAGAGTACTAAGTGGGAAAGATGAGATGCTTTGAGTATTGTATAGCTTTTGCTCCCTTCAATGACTGTGTCCTGAATCAATCCCTGATTCAGACTTCGGGATAATTGGCCTAGCATTAGAAGCTGGGTATCCTTAAGAAGTAGATTTTGAGGTGCTCCCCCTCTCAGGAGCTAGCCTGTCTTTCTCCTCTTCCCCCAGGTGCACTACCTATGCCTTTCTCTCTCCTAAGCTCCAAAGGCCCTTCTTTTACTTGCAACTTGTTTGCTGAGGTTATACAGCCCAGCTGGCTCACTTCTACTATCTCTGTAACTTTCTAAATAAACTTTTTAAAAAAGAAAAGAAATAGGTTTCCTTTTTTTTTTTTTTTTTTTTTTTTTAATGAGGCATGGGATTGAACTAGAAAATACTGAATCTGAATAGAACTTATAGCCTGCTTTTGACTGGGAATCCTTTCTGATAACATAAATAAAAAATTAATACACTTTGCATGTTCTATTTATTATATACTGTATTTTTACAATAAAGTAAGCTTAAGAAAATACATTTGCAATATTTATTGAAAAAAATCCACATGTAAGTGTACTTGTGCAGTTTAATTCCATATTTTTCAAGAGTAAACTGTACTTTCCGTTATATCTTTCTAACCTTCCTTCCCTGGGCAAAAATATAAAAGTTATTTTTGTTTGGCATATATTTTGACTAGGCTTTAATAGTCAGCTTTGAAACAGTCACTGCTCTGGAGAAAGCTTTTTAAAATGAAGTGTCTTTGTCAGTGCAGATTTGGGGAGAAGTTACTGACACTGCTTCTCTGGATGAGCTGGGAGGGAATGTAGTAGCAGTTATTCATCTGCTGTTCTGCCTCTTAATAAATCTCTTGTCCCGCCTGACTTCCTCTGGGCTGGCTGTGAAAACTGTCACCATCTAAGCATGCATCTAGCTTTTAGCCTGGTTGGGTTGCATTAACAGGAATTAGAATAGAGCATAGTCATTCTTCAATAAGAACATCTGAATTAGAAGGGGATTTAGAAGTACCTATTTCAGTGTTTGCAAAATGTGATTGTGTGTGTGTGTGTGTGTGTGTGTGTGTGTGTACACATTCATATACACACACACACTAGAGGCCCGGTGCAGGTAATCTCTAGACCTGGCTGGTGATCAGGGCCTATTGGGCCCTTCCTTCCCCAGCTGCCAGCTGCCAGCTGGGGCCTTACTTCATTTCATGCAGCCCCCTAGTGGTCAGCACACATCATAGTGAGCAGTCGAACTCCCAGTGGGTTGAACTCCTGAAGGGACAATTTACATAGTAGCCTTTTATTATATAGAATATCACCAGTGATATCTGGGGTATGAGTGATTTCAGGTGGCACATGCATCACTTTATTTTATAAGTTTTTTTAATGTGTTAAAAATATAACCAGCCCATTAAATAATTATTTTGTAATTTTTATTGCTTAATAAAATGTTAACTAAAAAAGTGGGTAGATTGTATAAAAGTACAGATGGCATAACGGAAATGGCAAGCATTTTGATCATTAGTATCTGAACATTTTCATTTTTTTTTTTGAAATATAGATCTAGTTCAATGCCTGAATTTTATTCAGAAAGGAACTGAGGTCTAAAAAGGGAAAGTATTATGTGTATTATATACTATATATGGTGAGTCACTGTTAGACTTTGGACTAGTTTCTAAGTCTCATGTGTCCCAGTCCAATATTATTTCATTGCTCCAGATGCCTCTCAGAAATAATAGCAAAAGTGGACTGAATAGCAGGTAAAGGAGGGCAAACTTATTGTAGAACATACACTGGTTTTTCTTAGAAACTTTTGTGCCTACTATAGATTGAGTGGGCTTATGGAAAAACAGAATAGATAAAATAGCTAAGATTCTGAGTTAGAAATATTTATATATATATACTAGAGGCCCGGTGCATGAAATTTGAGCACTCAGGGTGAGGGGGTGTCCTTCAGCCCAGCCTGCACCCTCCCACAGTCCAGGAGCCTTCAGGGACGTCCTTAGCGCTGCCATGGAGGCAGGAGAGGCTCCTGCCACCACCACTGTGCTCGACAGGCCAGCTGTAAGCCTGGCTTCTGGCTGAGCGGCACTCCCCCTATGGGAGAGCACTGACCACCAAGGGGAAGCTCCTGCATTGAGCGTCTGCCCCTGTTGGTCAGTGCGCATCATAGCAATTAGTAGTTCTGCCATTTGGTCGATTTGCATATTAGCCTTTTATTAAAAAGGATATGCAAAATGCAAATACATTTTATTTTTTTATGCATATCATTAGTTCAGTTTCCTAATTTATAATAATATGATTACCAAAAGGGCAAATATGAAAAGAGCTAGAAATAAGTTGATTTGGATTGACACCATCAATACTTTAGTGCTGGAGCTGAAGGAGTACTGGAGAATCATTAATGTAGAATTTTATTTATATGTAATACATTCTTAAGGACTAGCTCTGAATTAACATATTTTTTTTTCAGAGTCCTTATAGGACAGTTCTTCGAGATAATGCAATACCAACAATATTTGATCTTACCAGTCATTTGAACAATCCACATAGTAGACACAGAAAACGAATAAAAGAATTGGTATGTAATATGCTTTCAGCTTTCCAAACCCCTGGGATACTAGAAATCAAATAGATATATTTATGTTAAAATTGAACCAAGTTACTCTCTATTTCAAAGGTACCTGTACATGAAATGAATGCTATGGTTATTATTGAAGTAGCCAGGGTATAAAATGATGTTTGTTATAGTACTTAAATTGGAAAATATCTCTCAAATTTAGCCAACTGATACTCATTGACATAGGCCAAAGTGTGCTGTTAATTACAGGCCACTAGCTCCTTTCCTTCCTGTGAAGAAAAACAAAACACTACCTTTTCTTGTATAGTAAGGAAAGTGGAACTGAGGTATATTTCCAGAATTTAGCACATGTGGATACAGAAAGGTAAAGTTTAAAAGTTAAGACATGGATAGTTTTTCCTAGAGATAGGATTCTATTGCTATTAAGTATTGACAAGGTTTAGAAAAAGCTTCTCAATTTCTGTATATGGCATTTATGTGTGTTTTTATATTCCTTTGATATCCTTTAGATCAGTGTTTCCCAAACTTTTGACATATGTGTATTCCCTCTATAATTTTCGTAACGCTCAGTACCCCTTGTACTCATGAGAACGTAGAATTAGGCGCAGCTAAGCACGGTGCAGTGCATATCCCCACCAAACTCCGGTGCAACGCGTACCCCCACCAAACTCTCCCAGTACCCCTGGGGGTACACGTACCACACTTTGGGAAACACTGCTTTAGATGATTGAAACCTACCTGCTCTTTGTTAACCTTAGACCAACAAAATTAAATTACTCTGACAGCCCACAGGATGAAGAGGGGTAGCTTGCCTGCTGACATTTCTTCATATCAGTATCATGTCCCATGCTGCCCAGCAGATAGCCTGCTGTCTCCAGCTGTCACTGGCACTGTTGCTTTCCTGTCCTGGAGTAGTAACCATTGCAGTGAGTTAGGGAAGGGAAGTTCTTCCTTAATCTAACGCTTTATGTGCCACTTGGCTATATGTGCTATATGCATTCATTTTTTTCCATACTGGTTGTTGTGGGGTCGAACCCTTGGCCCTATGTAGCCTTCTGCTTCCCAGGGATTTCTCATAGCTTTTTTGTTAGGTTCTGATATCCAGCAATTCCCACTTACAATTCATCCCTCTGGGTTAGAGTGGCAGGAGGTCGGGCTCATGATTTTGTGTCCCCTTGGCTTTTATCTCAAGTATACATTTATGCCTTTTATCTGATAATTAAACACTTATAATCCAATGATTTAGATATAAAGTAAATTAAATTTGTGTTCTTTCTCCTCTAGAAATTTATTATAAGCTTGGAGTCATGAGCAAATTAATTGTTCTAGTTTTTCCATTATCTATCTGTTTGAATAATTTATTTCTTATAAAGAATGTATGCTCTTGAGAGAATTAAATTTGACTCCAAATATGCTTTTTACTTGTGAGTCTACATGCTATTCTAGAGTTCAGTTTTCATAAAGATGTTTTTTTTTCCCCTTTTTTTTTCTTGTCATTTAGAGTGAAGATGAAATCAGGACACTAAAACAGAAAAAAAGTAAGTGCTAGTGTTAATGACTCAACTTCTGAATGCCTTTTAAAAAGGCCTTGACCTGGTAAGGACAAATAAATATGTTTTATGTTCAAAACCTAAGAGAATGTTTTGGAATTGTTTGTGCAACTAAACCTTAGTTCAATTTGTCTTTATTGAGTGCCTATACACCATACACTTTGCCCACAGGGTGCTGTCAGTGTGTAGGGGTGGCAGGCACACAGTGTGTTCCAATACAGAGCAGGAAGGCAGCACTAAGGACAGAAGTAGAATCTGTCCACCCAATGTATAGTGCATGATAGGTTCTTGGTAATTATTTAAGGAGTAAATGCTATGGGGATATTTAGCCTTATAGAGGGTAGGAGTCCAAAAGCCTTTCTGCTTATATCAATTCATTTAATTCTGACAATAGCCCTGAAGTAAGAACTGTCATTTTCCCCCTTAATAGATGAGGAGATATGGACTCAGGCAAAGAAAAGGGAAAGATATTCTATGCAGAGGTAGAGTGGCTTGAAACAGGTACCAGATTTGAGGAACTACATTCATTTTGTTGTTGGAGCTTCTTAAACCCATGATGGTTAGAAATGAACTCATGGACCACAGAGGCCATGACTTGCAGGGCTGTGTGTATGTCTGTAGGTAGGACACTTCACTGCAGGGCCATCCAAATATGAAGAAATTAGGCTAAAACTTCTAAAATTATAGTATTAGCCTTGGAAATTATATGGACATACTTTATATTACATTAGTTTTTATAGGTGTCTCAACTCCCATATAAAAGTATAACAATATAAACAGTATCAGCATGGACCTCGAAGCCAGACAAGCTTGAATTTCAATTTCATCTCTTTTTTTTTAAATCCTCACCTGAAGATGTTTTTACTGATTTGACGGGGCAGGAAGAGGGGAGAAGAGAGAGAGAAACATCAATGTGAGAGAGAGACACATCCATCTGTTGCCTTCTGTGTTTACCAGACTGCATCAAACCACCTTTTGGTGTATGGGACAACACTCTAACCAACTGAGCCATCCAGCTACAGCTCATCTCCATCTTTCTATCTGCTTCTGTGACCTTGAGCTGTTATTTACTGTCATTTGTCAAAAGGGTTTGATACCATCTGCCTGTAGAGGGAGTAGTAGGATACATATAGAATGTCAACACAGTATGTCATAAATATGATACTCCCTTCCTCTTCCTTTTTCTGGGTGCACATACTGTCTTATTACTCTATGTGTGATGTACCTTGTTAAGTTTATTGTTCCTTACAAGAGCATTTACATGGAGGATTAAAATATATCTCTGTTCACAGTGTTTGTCTTCCCCACTAGGGTGTAATCTCTGTCCTAGTCTGTGGTCCAGTAGGTGTTCTGTGAATGTTGAATAAATGAGTTGGTGGATTTTAGGTATTTAAGAAAATAAAGAATGCATTTTTATTTGTTTGTATGGTTCCTCATAAGTCTGTTTTTAAAATTCTCTGTTTTCCAGTTGACGAAACTTCTGAACAGGAACAAAAACATAAAGAGATCAACAACAGCAATGCTCAGAACTCCAATACAGACGTGGGTGAAGAACAGGATGAAGACATTTTACCTTTAACCCTTGAAGAGAAGGAAAACAAAGAATACTTAAAATCTTTATTTGAAATTTTGATTCTTATGGGAAAACAAAACATACCTCTAGATGGACATGAAGCTGATGAAGTCCCAGAAGGTCTCTTTACTCCTGATAACTTTCAGGCACTGCTGGAGTGCCGGATAAATTCGGGGGAAGAGGTTCTGAGAAAGCGCTTTGAGACAACAGCAGTCAACACCCTGTTCTGTTCAAAAGCACAGCAGAAACAGATGCTGGAGATCTGTGAGAGCTGCATTCGGGAAGAAACGCTCAGGGAAGTGAGAGACTCTCACTTCTTCTCCATTCTCACTGACGACGTAGTGGACATAGCAGGGGAAGAGCACCTGCCTGTGTTGGTGAGGTTCGTTGACGAAGCTCATAACCTGAGAGAGGAATTTGTGGGTTTCCTGCCTTACGAAGCCGATGCGGAAATGTTGGCTATGAAATTTCACACTACGATCACTGAAAAGTGGGGATTAAACATGGAATATTGTCGTGGCCAGGCTTACATTGTGTCCAGTGGATTTTCTTCCAAAATGAAAGTTGTTGCTTCTAGACTTTTGGAGAAATATCCCCAAGCTGTCTACACACTCTGCTCTTCCTGTGCCTTAAATATGTGGTTGGCAAAATCGGTGCCTGTTATGGGAGTGTCTGTTGCATTAGGAACAATTGAGGAAGTTTGTTCTTTTTTCCATCGATCACCACAACTGCTTTTAGAGCTTGACAATGTAATTTCTGTCCTCTTTCAGAACAATGAGGAAAGGGGTAAAGAACTGAAGGAAATTTGCCATTCCCAGTGGACAGGCAGGCATGATGCTTTTGAAGTCTTAGTGGACCTCCTGCAAGCACTTGTTTTATGTTTAGATGGTATAAATAATGATACAAATATTAGATGGAATAACTGTATAGCAGGCCGAGCATTTGTACTCTGTAGTGCTGTAACAGATTTTGATTTCGTTGTTACCATTGTCGTTCTTAAAAATGTTCTCTCTTTTACAAGAGCCTTTGGGAAAAATCTCCAGGGTCAGACCTCTGATGTCTTCTTTGCAGCCAGTAGCTTGACTGCGGTGCTGCATTCGCTAAACGAAGTGATGGAAAATATTGAAGTTTATCATGAATTTTGGTTTGAGGAAGCCACCAACTTGGCAACCAAACTTGATATTCAGATGAAGCTCCCTGGGAAATTCCGCAGAGCTCATCAAGGGAACCTGGACTCTCAGCTGACCTCAGAGAGCTACTATAAAGAAGCTCTAAGTGTTCCAACAGTGGAGCACATTATTCAGGAACTGAAAGATATATTCTCAGAACAGCACCTCAAAGCTCTTAAATGCTTATCTCTGGTCCCCTCTGTCATGGGACAGCTCAAATTCAATACATCGGAGGAGCACCATGCTGACATGTACAGAAGCGACTTACCCAATCCTGATACACTCTCAGCCGAGCTGCATTGTTGGAGAATCAAGTGGAAACACAGAGGGAAAGACATAGAGCTTCCATCCACCATTTATGAAGCCCTCCACCTTCCAGACATCAAGTTTTTTCCTAATGTTTATGCATTGCTGAAGGTCCTGTGTATTCTTCCTGTGATGAAGGTTGAGAATGAACGCTATGAAAATGGGCGGAAGCGTCTCAAAGCATACCTGAGGAACACTTTGACAGACCAAAGGTCAAGTAACTTAGCTTTGCTTAACATAAATTTTGATATAAAACATGATTTGGATTTAATGGTGGACACATATATCAAACTCTATACAACTAAATCAGAGCTTCCTACAGATAATTCGGAAACTACCGAAAATACCTGAGAGACTTTTAAAATGGGTTCTCTTATATTTGATATTGAAAAAAACCTAGGAAATTTGAAAGCATAGAAAAGCTATAAAATACACGTAGGCCACTTAATCACTGAATATCTTGAATACATTAGCCATGGATAATCTGACTGTTTAAATGGCCCGTTTGAACTCTCATGCTTTGGAGAACTAACTGTTCTTCCAGAGGGTAGCGTTGAAAGTGCCACATTGCACTTCTGCGTGATCTCTGCTATTGGCACTTTGGAATTGTTTTAGTTAAGTCATTTTAGACATAACATTTATTATCACTGTGGATCCAGTTGTTGGGTATTGAGTTAACCAGTTCTTTGAAGAAATCAATTTTGAGAAGGTATGGGGGGTAATACATTTCATAAAATTTTACAATGAAGCTCATGACTAACCTTTGAATAGCAAGAGTTTTAAGTATGCTATTAAATATCTGTAATGAACAGTTAAATTATCAGATAGTGAAAGAAACGTGAGCTTGCCAAACAAGGATTTCAGTATAGATTTTGTCTTTATTCGATAATCTTAAACAAGTTACTGTTAAACATTGAAGGAAGAACTTGCCATTGTTCCACATCTGGGTGTTGCTGTTTACATTCCTTTGTTGAGCCTTTATCTTCATAAGCTTTTTAGCAAGTATATGTTGAACATTTCTGTTCATGGTCAAGACAGGATCAGAGGCCATGGATATTGACAACAGATTGGTCTTTTTTATTGTCTTTTTCCATGATTATATCTACTGCCTCGTCTTGATTTATAAGTAAAACCTAGACAACCTACAAAAATGTGTTTTGTAGTTTATCTAGGAATAATACAGAAAATATTGCTGTTATTTTTGGTGAAGAAAGTCAATTTTGTACAGTTTATTTCGACGTAAATAAAATGTGAATTTGTTTAAAGTTCAAGTACTTTTATTTTTTGGTGGGGACAAAATAGATTCTTCTGGTAAATTCCCTTTTCAAAAATATCACCTTCACAATTGAAGAGGTTTTTTTTTAAATTTATCTTTTAGTTTATGATTTACTAATTGAGATATACACTGAGTAGCCAGATTATTATACATTCAGAGATCATAATAATCTGGCCACTCAGTGTATAAAGGCATTTTATTTTTTTAAAAATATATTTTATTGATTTTCCACAGAGAGGAAGGGAAAGGAATAGAGAGCTAGAAAAGTCGATGAGAGAAAAACATCGACCAGCTGCCTCTGCACAGAGGAGATGTGCCGCAACTAATGTACATGCCTTGACCGGAATCGAACCTGGGACCCCTCAGTCCGCAGGCCAATGCTCTATCCACTGAGCCAAACCGGTTTCGGCGTATAAAGGCATTTTAATTAATAAATTATTAAATATAAAGTTTATCTGATTTTTATTTTATTTTTAATCCTTTCCTGAGGATTTTTTCCCATTGCTTTTCAGAGAGAGTAGAAGGGAGAGAGGGAGGGGCAGAGAGAGAGAAACATGATAGACATGTGAGAGAGACACATGGACTGGTTGCCTCCTGTATGCACCTTGACAAGGTGGGCATTAAACCTGTGATCTCTCTGTGTGTAGGCTGACACTCGAGCCACACTGGCCAGGGCATATGTAGCTGATTTTTTACATATTATATGGCCCCAGATATCAATTGTCAGGATTTGTGTAATTGTTGCTGGCTAAAATATAAAAGAATGAATATAATTGCAGAGATACACTGAATTATTTTAAACTGTAAAACTACACTTAATGGTTGTGCTATGAGGGTTAGATAATTTATCATCAGTTACCTGTTACTGCTTAACAGCATTCTAAAACTTAGTGGCTTTAAAAAAAACCACACACGCCAGCTTATCATTTCCCACCGTTTCATTGCTTGGTTCAGTGGTTCTTTTGCAAATCTCATCTGGGCTCTCTGCATTCAGCCAGCAGATTGGCTGGGGGCTAGGTGGTACAGCAGGGCTTCTCCTGGTGGTTTTTTATCTTGAGCTTATGGCATGGTAGTCTCAAAGATACCAAGAAGGCAAAGGTATAAGTTTCAAAGCCTGGGCTCAAGAACTGAGAGGACATTGCTCTCACTGTATTATTTTGGCCCAGATATGAAGCATGAGGAAATTGGCTCCTAATCTTGATGGGAAGAGCTGTAAAATATGGTCCTGTTTTACGTTTACCGAAGTAATGTATTCAAAACATTCATACAACAAGACTTAGTTAAACACCATCATTTGTTTTTTATAATCCCTTAAATTAATTTGGGAATTTATTGAAAGCTTAAAAACCTTCAGAGGCATTTTCACAAACTCTGATCTTAGAGGGCAGATTGTGTCAATGTAGTCTCCCCATAGATGAAACAGAGATTGTCTTGTTTGTAAAATTAGATAGGATGTGGTAGGTGTAGTGACTTATTTACCCCACAAATAGTAGTTGAATGTTTACTAAGTGCCATGCTTTTCGGTTAAGTGCTAGCAATAACATGTGCTTTATTACAGAGCTTATAGCCTAGTGCTGGCCCACAGGAGTACAGTTGTTTATAACTGCACATTAGGATAACTGTTTATATCCTAATATATAAAAAGCCAGGGGCCGTAATGATTAAAACAGACTACTGAGCAGCAGGCTAGGGAGCTGAGGGAGCAGGTCGAATGGTCACCATGAGGGGACCCTGCCTGGAACGGGCGTGTAGCCTGCCTTCAAACCGCTGGTGGTCCCTAGCCCAGAGAGGCCTAGCTGAGGACGCCCAAGTCTGTTCTGGACCAAGCGCCGCGTTCCCACCCCCTCCCCCACCCTCACACACACAACTCAGAAGCCTCCAGTGTCCAACTGCCAGTTTCTGGGAGGTGGGAGTGCGTCTACCGTCCATCAAAAAGTAGGACCATCAAACCGTTCGCAGTCTCAGTGTAGGCACGGGTTTATGGCTGAGGAGGCAGAGGCCAGGCCAAAACAAAGCAGAAACACCCTGCCCACCTCTGAGTGCAGCTGCAGTCCACCTGGCCTGCGTAGCGTATAAAGTGCTACCTTCTCCCGGGTCCTGTGCTGGCACCACCGCCTCGCTCACCCCCAAGCGCCTCTGAGTCCTGGCAGCGAAGTGTGCAGGGCATCCTGCAGGACTTGTGCCGCTCTGGGTGCTTTTGCCTAAAGACACCCTTTGGGATGAATTCAGAGCCACATCTCACTTCCAATGAGACTGGAAGAACCATGTAAAATGAATTTGACAAAAGCTTTCCACATCTGTTTACACTTTTGAATCCATAAAATGACCTTAAAAAAGCATTCGGGCCATCTAAGAGAGTATGGTTAGAAGCAGAGAGCTGGTCCAGTGGAAATGGCCCTGGTGCCTTGTAAGGAGACCGCGGGAATGGGGTTGCAGAAATTCCACAAGCCTCTTGCCACCTTCTCCATTGCAAAGCACACTCTCCAGATCCACCAGGACTGGAGGCAACTGGGAGTCGCAGCCTTGGTTTGGGACGCAGTAAGCAGTAAGCAAATCCTAGGGGGCCTCTGAAAACATTTGCAATTGATTATAAATTATTTAAATAAAGACCAGTCTTGCCGAAGCTGGTTTGGCTCAGTGGTAGAGCGTCGGTCTGTGGACTGAAAGGTCCCGGGTTCGATTCCGGTCAAGGGCATGTACATTGGTTGCGGGCACATCCCCGGTAGGGGTGTGCAGGAAGCAGCTGGTCGATGTTTCTCTCTTACCGACGTTTCTAGCTCTCTATCTCTCTCCCTTCCTCTCTGTAAAAAGTCAATAAAAATAAATAAATAAATAAATAAATAAATAAATAAATAAATACAGATCAGTCTTTAAATAAAGACCAGTATTTAAAAAGAAATGAAAGAACAGCTTTGTTGAGATCTAATTCATATATTGTACATGTCACCTAAAGTGTACCATGAACTGTTGTTGTAAGTAAATTCAGATTGGTACAACCATCATCATGCTCAATTTTTATTTTATTTTTTATTTTTTTAAAAATATATTTTATTGATTTTTTACAGAGAGGAGAGAGAGATAGAGAGCTAGAAGCGTCGATGAGAGAGAAACATGGGCCAGCTGCCTCCCGCACACCCCCCACCGGGGGATGCACCCACAACCAATGCACATGCCCTTGACCGGAATCAAACCTGGGTTCTTTCAATCCGCAGACCAACGCTCTACCACTGAGCCAAACCGGTTTCGGCACCATGCTCAATTTTTAAATATATTCACAACCCCATCCTCTCCAAAAAAATTACCCACTAGAATCACTTTCCTGACCATCTTCTCCCAAATATTGCATTTTAAGGGTGGGTAAAGGAAAGTTGAGGGAAGTTAAAATAATTGCACAAAGGATATTGTAAAATGACAAAGCCCAAAATGAAGATCATGTTTTTTTAATATTTTTTCAATTGATTTCAGAGAGAAAGAGAGAGCGAGAGAGAGATAGAAACATCAATGATAAGAATCACTGATCAGCTGCCTCCCACAGAGCTCCTATTGGGGATCAAGCCCACAACCCAGGCATGTGTCCATGACCAGAATCAAACCTGGCACCCTTCAGTCCATAGGCCAGTGCTTTCTCCAATTAAACCTGCCAGGGCCAAGGGTTTTTTTTTTTGTTTGTTTTTTTTTAAGTTCTTTGTGGTTGTAATGGGCCCCGAATCTATACACATAAAAAGATAATATGCTAATTAGAGTGGATGTTTTCTGGATGTCCTTCCAGATAAAGCCACAGCAGCTGTGAGGGCTAAGGCTCAGGCAGCTGGGGACAGCTGCGAAGGGCTGAGGCTCAGGCTGTCAGTAGCAGTAGCAGTGGGATAATGGAGGCAGTGCCTTCCCCTAATCTGCCAGATCACTTCTATAGAGGGAAGCCAGACTGGGGGCCAACGCAGAGGCAGGGGTGATCAGGCAGGTAGGCAGGCAGAGGGATTAGGGGCAATCAGGCAGGCAGGCAGGCAGGTGAGTGGTTAGGAGCCAGTGGTCCCAGATTGTGAGAGGGATATCCTGTATTGGAGAGGGTGCAGGCTGG